GGCTGTGCGGAAAAGCATGGATTTTGGAGTGAGGCTTACCTGAATCTCAGTCATTTTCTCTGTGCAAACATAATACGTTAGTTAGTATACCATTTCCTGTTTGCAGATTTTTCTGAGCCATGATTTTCTTTTCATCTGTAAAATGTAGATAATTGTAACTAGCTTATAGAGTTGTTGGAAGGATTAAAGGAAATAGCATATGTTAAGTATTTAGCACAGTACCTGGTAAGTAAACAGTGCTAGTTTCATCATTCTATTTTTTAAAATCCTAGACTCTTTCCATGTTAATTGAAACTAAATATTATTATTAGATATACATTTGAAATGGAGAAGTGATTTTATATGCCTATCAACAAATATTTGATGCCTTTAACAGCCTTAACCTCCACCACAAGAGAGTAATTAGGGAAGATAGAGAGACAGAGTTATCATTTAGCCACATACATTCACAAATTTGATAAATAAAATGCATTTTGCTTCTTTCTCTCCCCTCCTCTCTTGGTGTCCACAGTGAAATGGCCTGCCTTTATAGGAGACCTGAAGTAAGGACTCCCATGTGATAAAAATATGGCTGTTTACATTGTATAAGGAAATATTAAATACATATAAATAAGTTTATTTTAATCTGATTTTAAAAGTAGATTCCATCAATTGTAGCATATGTTTCTCTTTACTGGTAACTGATACCTGTTAAAAACATATTTAGAAATGCCATGTGGACTTTAATAACTTGAAATAAATCCAGAATATTATCCCATCACATTCTGCTATGAAAATGACTCTTTCTTGCCATCTTTCCTTTTACCAACATCTTCAAAGACCTGTCACGCTTCCTTAGGTCCTATGGACTGATGTACTTACCTCCTTCAATAGGTAATAGAAATGCAGATTTTTTTATGAGTCAATTTAAATCTTTATGGAAAAGCCAGATACAGAAAAACATTGCATATGTCACCAGAATGCATCAGTTTACCAGAGGCATTAATATTTTTATTTATTTGCAGAATTAATGAGTTTGAAGAAGCCGTCAATTTCTTTACCTGGGCTCTTAAAATTAACCCATGTTTTCTGGATGCTTATGTTGGAAGGGGAAATTCTTACATGGAATATGGTCTTGATGAAGCTACCAAGAAAGCACAGAAAGACTTTCTGAAAGCACTGCATATTAATCCAGGATACATAAAAGCCAGAATTAGTTTGGGATATAATTTACAGGTAATATAGCAACATTTTGAGCATGAAAATCATCCTTTGGGAAGAAAGAATATATTTGGCCCTTTCCTGGCAATGGGAGTATATGTTATTTCTTTGGTTATGAACATTTACTTTTTCCTTACTTTTGGGTTCCAGCGTAGTAGTGGAAGCATGGGATTTAGTTAGTTATAGAGAATCTGCCTGGATCTGGATCAGCTTGGGGAGCTGGTAGGCTGGTTAGATGAAAATCTTTTGAACCTGCATTTCCTTTATGTCTACACTCCTCCCTACCTTCCTCCTACACTTATAAACAACTTTTAAAATTTGCCTGATGAAGTTCATCTTTCAGAACATGAGTAACATTTATTTTACTAGCTTGTATACCTAAGCTCTACAGGTTTTGTCCTATTGCATTAATGGAAAGCTAAAGGGAAGAAAATTAGCCATTATTGGATCACAGTAGAAATTTGCAAAGTCCACTTAAAGAGAGTGATTTCCAAGGCAACTAGAGCTGAATTCAATCCCGTGAAATATGTTAACATCATCATCATTCATTGCATTCAGCGACATTAACTGAGCACTAAATATAGAATGGAAACTGCTGTAGGCCTGAGGATATAGCAATGAACAAAAATATACTTCCTACTTCTTGCAGTTTACTACCCAGTGGAGAGATAGGCATCAAACAATTAATCGAATGAATAATTGATTATAATCATGATAAGTGCAAAAAAGGAAAAGGATGAGTTTTAGTATAACTTGTCACAAAATAACTTGTCACCTCTCTTTGTTTGAGAAGTGAGAGAAGCTTTTTGAGAAATGAACAATGTTGAGGTGTGAAAGTAGGGGCTGTGGCTAGGATACAGTGTTCCATAGAGTGGAATCAGCCCATCAGAAAGTCTTGTAAAAAAGAGGGCCCAAGTGGATAGAATGTTATGGGCAAAGGGAGCAGGGTATGAGATGAGGCTGGAGTTGAAGGCCTTATGGTCCAATTAACAATGTGAATAGCATTAATAGGAGAAGTGACAACAAATTTACATTTTCTGAATATCCCACTGGGTATATAGCAACCTGAAAAAAAATTGAAAAATATAGCAGTGTAAAGAATTGAGTCAGGAAGGAGGACTGCAAAAGGACAGTTATACCCATCTGAGTTCTGTGTGGGTAAAGAGCAACCGTTTATTCAACAAATACTACAGATTCCCTTACTATTTGCCTATCACTAGAAATACAGAAGTGAGCACAACAGATGTGGTCTGCAGCAGATGACAGAGTTCTTACTCTGAGGCAGTTTGCTATTTAATAGTCTAATAATCTAATCTCAATATGCCTGATTCCTTGTTTGTTAAATGAGTTTGTGTTGACAGTGTGGCTTTACAAATGGTTTACCCAGAGACAGAAGATTTGATGGTCAGGAGACAGGGTCTTGTTCCCTTAACAGTTATATACTTTTTTTTTATGTGAGAGTCCTTAGGCTCAGCTTGGTTAAAGTGAGTCAACTTCTGAGATTCTGGCAAGATAGATGTTTGAGCCCATCGGGAAAAAAAGACAGACTCCAGACTCTACTGAATTTATTAACTCACTGCCTTCTTGTGGAGTCATTTAGTTGCCAGCTGGTCTTCTCTAGGAAGCACTCTGACATTATCCTATTAACAATGCCTCTCTCCTGATCTTTTCTTTCTTTTCCAGGTGGTATAAACAGATTTGTATGTATTTTCCATGGAATGTGTATAGTGATCCTAATGCTCCAGATGCTGGCATGATTTATCAGAATATGTTTTATACCATTAGTTTATTCATTTATTATTCAATACCTATTTATTTTATCATGTATATTATGTATTTATTATCGATAACTGGAGATTCAGTGCCAAGGAAATAAATACAATCCCTTCCTGTGTGTGTGGAGCTCAATGTGAATTTTTTGGTGTTGGTCAATGCCATTGGCCTTTCACGTGGTAGCCATGATTTTATGTTGTCCAGGATTGGTATAGGAGAGGACTCTGAAGTTAAATTGATTTTAATTAATTAAAATTTCTTCATAAATACTTAGTGGTAATGAGTCAACTGAATGCAGCCACAGTATACATTCAGTATGCCTATTTTCTGGTTTCAAATACCTTAGATTTAGCAAAGAATAAATATACCCTTACTAAAGGTTTTTTTTTTATTTAGTCAGAATCATAAACATTTGTCATGTTATGGACTATTTCCTACTTTGTGTAATTGGAAAATTATTCTAGATTCAAGGAAAATTCCAGAAAGCTTGGAATCACTTTACCATTGCCATGGATATTGAGCCAAAGAACTACTTAGCCTATGAAGGAAGAGCTGTGGTCTGTCTTCAGATGGGTAATAATTTTGCTGCAATGCAGGATATTAATGCTGCCATGAAGGTGAAAACCATCTTAGATTATATTATTATTAGCATAAGTCAATTAGCTAATTAGTCTCTGTTAGCTTTTTAAAGTGACTTATGGAGAAAATAATGTTTTGTGTATTTTTACCCAAGTGATCCCTATAGCAGAGTTATGTCTTGCCAATTTTATAACCTAAATGCACTAAAACACAGAAATTCTGCTAAACGTTGATTGCTCTCAGTAAATACGCTTTATACTTTCGTGGGACATCAATATTATTATGTAATACAGAGCAAATGCATAACATAAAATAAGGTTCTAGGTTTGAAGGAACTAAAGAAAGAACAATGTAAATCCCCAGAATCTTCCTTCAGTGAAATGACAAGTAAAAATCTCATATTGAATGCGCTGACAGGAACTCTTCTTTACTTCTAGCTTTTGGGTTTTGTTTCTGTAGATTTGGGGAGATGTAATGTTTGAGATGAGAAAAAGGAAATAACTGAAAGATAATTGCTACTACACAGGACAAATAAGCCTGTTAACTATTCAATTTAATTTCTTCTCTAGCTTAACAGCTAAACAGATAAGCTTTTCCACTTTGTCTATTCCTTGGAATGGAACTGAGTGAAAAAACACTAAGATTATTTGTTTTATTGCAACCAAATCAACAAAGTGTTGACATTGAACCAACTTCATACCAATGCCTTTCTCAAAATATTTGTTCTACTTGGGTTTTACATGCACCATAAAATTACTAGCTTCCCACAAGTAGATTCCATAATGTTCATTTTGGCAGTCATGAAATCAGAGATAAATACTATTCCCAGATGTTAAATAATCATAATATTATACTGCAGATCAATACTACAGCAGAGTTCTTAACAAATCGTGGGGTGATTCATGAGTTTATGGGCCATAAACAGAATGCAATGAAAGACTATCAAGAAGCAATTTCTCTAAACCCCAAGTACTCACTGGCTTACTTTAATGCAGGAAATATCTACTTTCACCACAGGCAGTTTTCCCAGGTAATGTGAGTTTTACTTAACACTTTCTTTTTGACATTAAATGCTTACTTTATTATATATAGTTTCAAAATGTAATTTGTACAATCTCATGCTAATAATGCACTGGCTATCAGCTCTTTATTTAAAATGTTATCTTTCATAAGAATGTTTATAATTTATCCATTAAATACTTATGCCGTATGGATTTATTCTCCTCATTATCATCAACTAACACTTGTAAACATTTGTTTCAAATGTCTTGCTAAAATCTTACTGAGAGATAATTGACATACAACAAATCACACATACTTAAAATGTACAATTTGATGTCTTGACATAGTGTGCACCTGCAAAATCATCACTACAAATAAAGATAATAAACATATATCAGCACCACAAGTTTTTTCATGCTCCTTGATATTTTATTCGTCCTTCTCTGAAAAATATAAAATGCTTCATGAATTTTCATGTCATCCTTGCACAGGAGCCATGAAATCCTCTCTGTATCATTCCGATTTTAGTATATATGCTGCCAAAGTGAGCCATCCAATAAACATTCTTTCGGACTTCCCCAAGTTTGAGGACTTGCCTCGCGATTTCTATTGTCACAAGCTTCCAGCCTAGAATCTTCTGTTCTTTCCCCATTTAGACTTCCTTCAAGACCCTCCTTATGATTACCTAACTCACCTTAATTTATACCTTTTCCAAATTTTGCCATGGGAGCACTTGACTGGGAGTAAGAAGACTTGGATTTTAGTTCTGGCTTTGTGTGACACCTTAATCTCTTTGGACCTGAATTCATAATGTCTGAAACAAAATGGTGGGTCATTAGATAATGGTATTTTCTATTTTTTGAACTTATTTCATTTGAGTCATAATGCATTTCCATGATTCAAACTCTTAATATTTACATTTTTGCTTTTTATCTATAATCACTCATTTTTTCTGCTTTCCTTCAATTTATCTTGTTATTCTTTATCTTTTTTAGTTGGAAGCTTAATTAATTTATTTTCACCCTTTCATTTATATTGTAATAAGTTATCAAAAGTATGCCTTTTACCTAAGTATTGTGTTGGCAGCATTTCACATATTTTGCTCTGTAATGTTTGCTTGTTTAGCTCTGGTAAAATACACACAACATAAACTTTACCATCTCAACCATTTTTAAGTGTACATTTCAACCATTTTTAAGTGTACATTTCAGTAGTAAATATATTCTGTAATGTTTTTATTCATGTTTTCCCCAGATTTTGCACCTGTAATTTCTATTTCCCATTTGACTAAAGAATAAATTAATAGGGCATTTAACCAGATGGAAATACATTTCTATTTTCTACATTTTTGAAATTATTGACTTTTAATGTAGTCTTAATATTAATTTTTTTGTCAGGGTCATTCCAAAGATGGAGTATCCCAGCACTTTGGGAGGCCGAGGCGGGCGGATCACGAGGTCAAGAGATTGAGACCATCCTGGCCATGGTGAAACCCCGTTTCTACTAAAAAAAAAAAAATACAAAAATTAGCCGGGCGTGGTGGCATGCGCCTGTGGTCCCAGCTACTCGGGAGGCTGAGGCGGAAGAATCGCTTGAACCCAGGCGGAGGTTGCAGTGAGCCGAGATTGCGCCACTGCACTCCAGCCTGGCGACAGAGTAAGACTCCGTCTCCAAAAAAAAAAAAAAAAAAAAAAAGGAAGAGTATCTACTATATGTCAGGGTCTTTCCAAAGAAAAGGTATCTACTATCATGATGTAGATTTAAATCCTATATTTATGCAGTCTACATTACTAACTGGTTCACGTTTGTACTTTGTGTTTACTTGGTTTATTTTGGACTGAGAGATTTATTCAAATATGCTGTTATTAGGGGGTTCCTATGTAGTTCTCGTTAAGTCTCTTATAATGTCTGCTTTGTGAATATTGCTGCTACAATATTTCATGATGGATATTTATACCTATTACATATGCATTGTGAATTATAGCCTTTGGCATTACAAATTTCCTCCTTTGTTTCTTTTAATGCTCTGTGAAACAAATTCTCTTTTGTGTGATACGAGGATCATGACCTCTAATACCTTCTGATTTGCTTTGCCTGGTATTCCTTTGCTTTCCCTTTTATTTCCAACTTTTAAAATCCTTTGTTTTTGGTATGTCTCTTTTATATAGTATAGAACTGGATTTTACTTTGAGAGCTAATTTGAAAATAGTTTTATTTTAATAGGCAAGTTAAGCCCATTTACATTTTGGCATAATCAATACATTCTGTTATTTTATGTAATACAAATGTATTTATGTTCAAAGTATTTGGACAGTATTTCACTCTCTGGTTTCTTATTTGTTGGGTTTTGTTCAGTTTTTGCGATATTTAGGAAGGTTTATAATTTTGCTGTAGTGGTTATCTTTATAAAATACCTTTAATGTGCTTAGTTTCTCTAATATGAGCAACAATAAAATTTCCCCATAAACTCCTCCATCCTCTCATCCATTATTCAATTTTAGTTAGTAGTATTCTTTTTTTAAAAAAAAAAAAAAGTTTATCCTTGTATTCTTTAATATACTTGAGCTTATTATGTCAGCTTTTCACATAAACTTACTTTCCACAGTCTCTCAGGTATAAAAATTGGTATCAATTAAGGTGAGTTAGATAATCACATCATGGGGAGAGTTTTGAAGGAAGTCTAAGTAGGGAGAAGAACAGAGGGTTCCAGGCTGGAAGCTGGTGACAATAGATAGAGCAAGACAAGTGCTGTCACGAGGGGGAAATCCAAAAGAATAATTACTGTGTTCACTTTGGCAGCACATAAACTAATTCTCCCATTTTGTTGTAAGTTTTATTATTTCTACACTGTCTGAAGATTTAATATTTATGTATTATTTTGTTACTCTTAGTGCACACTTTAGTCTTAGTTCTTCAGTTAAGTATATTCAATTCTCATCACCAGACTATTTGCCAAACTCCTCTTCCCCACAATAATTGCTTGGTTGACTGAAATTAGTCTTCTGGTCAAGTTCTGGAAGGGGCTCATGAAAACAATATTCCTTGGATTTTTGCATATTGATATCTGTATGCCTGTAGCCTGTTTTATACCTTAAGTCATCATTGGTCCTTGACTCATTTTTCTTTCCTTGAGTGTCTTGTAAGTGATGTTTTCTTTTCTGGTGGTGTATGTTGGTGTCAAGAAGCATAGTGCAAACTGGATTTTCTTTCTCTTATAAAGAAATTGCTCTTTTTATCAAGATAACCACATTTGTTTTTTAAGGAAAAAGTTTTATCAAGGTATGCCTTAGAGTTGACCACTGGCGGGGTCGGGGTGGGGGGGCGGGTAAATGTATTAAGTACACAGTGTATGTTTTCAGAATGTAGATTTCAGGTGAGTGTTGTTGACTTCACAACATTTTTTTTTTTTCTGTTTCATTGTTCTGATTTTCTTTACTGGGGATACCAATTAGATAGATGTCATGTATTCTTTAACTTTGATTTATTCTCAACATTTTTTTAAATTTCTCAATTTGTGTTTCATTTTATCTTCCTTTTGTATTTTTTCTAAGTAATTATGCTGTTTCCTGAGATATCTGTTATCCCTGTGGACCTCGTAAGTTTTGTTTTCTTTTTATTTTTCTAGTTCTATCCTATTTCCATGCCAATTTTTCCTGGTCACCTCTTTTCTGGGTTCCTATATTTCTGATTCATTTTTTCTTGATGGCAATTGCTCTCTTAACATATTTTTAAGTAAATTTTTAAAATTGAATTTTTTTGAAAAAATTGGAATATGTATCACCTCAAGCATTTATCATTTCTTAGTGGTGAGACCATTTCAAATCTTCTAGCCATTTTGAAATATATAATAAATTATAACTATAGTCTCCCTGCTGTGCTATCAAATACTAGAACTTATTCCTTCTATGTAACTGTATTTTTGTTTCCATTAACCAACCTGTCTTCATCCCACCCCCTACCCACCCCTCCCAGCCAATGGTGATTGTCATTCTACTCTCTCTGTCTATGAGACAAATTTGTTTTTTTTTTTTTTTTAAGCTTCCAAATATGAGCAAGCACATGTGTTGTCTTTCTGTACCTTTCTTATTTTGTTTAACTTAATGTCCTCTATGGTCACCCATGTTGCTGCAAATAATAGGATTTTATTCTTTTTAATGCCACAATAATATTTCATTGCATATATATAACAGATTTCTTTATCTATTCATCTGTTGATGGACACTGAAGTTGATTCCATATCATGGTTATTGTGAATAGTGTTGGGACAAACCTGGGAGTGCAAATATTTCTTTGATATACTGATTTCCTTTCTTTTGGATATATACCTAGCAGTGGAATTGCTGGATTACATGATAGTTCTATTGTTTTGAGGAAACTTCATTCAGTTTTCCATAATAGCTGTACTAATTTGCTTTCTCACCAACAGTGTACTAGAGCTTCTCATTCTCTGCATTCTTGCCAAATGTGTTGCTTTTTGCTTTCTTCTTTCCTTTTTTTTTTTGACAATACCCATTTTAACTGGGGTGAAATAGTATCTTATTGTGGTTTTGATTTGGATTTCTCTGATGGTTAGTGATATTCAACATTTTTTAATGTACCCGTTGGCCATCTGTATGTCTTTTCAAATCATTTACCCACTTTTAATAGGACTTTTTTTTTTTTTTTTTGCTGTTGATTTGTTTGAGTTCTTTATATATTCTGGTTATTCTTCATTAGATGAATAATTTGCAAATACTTTCTCCTATTCTGTATTTTTTCTCTACTTTCTGTTGATTATTGCCTTTACTATGCAGCAGATTTTTAACTTGGTATAAACCTACTTGTCTGTTTTTGCTTTTGTTGCCTGTGCTTTTGTGGTCTTAACTCTCAAAAAATCTGTGCCATATCAATCAATGTCCTGAACCATCTCTACAATGTTTTCTTCTGTTAGTTTTATGGTTTCAGGTTTTACAGTGAAGTCTGTAATCCATTTTAATTTCATTTTTGTATATAGTGAGTGACAGGGGTCTAGTTTCTTTCTTCTGCATATGGACACTCAGTTTTCAGTTTTGTTTATTTGGGTCTTTTCTCTTTTTTCATAGTCTATTTATCAGTTTTGTTTACCTTTACAAAAATGTAACTTTATTATATTGATGTTTTGTATTTTTAAGTCTCTTTCACTTATTTCTGTTCTGATATTATTTCTTTGTTTTTACTAATTTTGTGTTCGATTTGTTCTTGCTTTTTTAGTTTTATGAGGTGCATTGTTACATTATTTATTTGAAATCATTCTACCTCTTTGATGTAGGCATTCAACTCTATGAATGACCTTCATAGGTTTGCTGCATTCCATAGTTTTGGTATGTTGTGTTTTCATTTGTTTCAAGAATTGTTTTGATTTTCTTCTGAATTTCTTTATTGACCCAAGGGTTGTTCAGGAGCATATTATTTAATTTTCATTTGCTTATTTAATTTTCAAAGCTTCTCTTGTTGTTGATGTTTATTTCCACCGTGGTCTGAGAAGATACTTGACATGATTTTGATTTTTATTATTTTTTGAGACTTGTTTCATGT